AGAGACCAGAGTAACAGACAGAGACTGAGAGACCAGAGTAACAGACAGAGACTGAAGGACCAGAGTAACAGACAGAGACTGAGAGACCAGAGTAACAGACATAGAGAGAGAGACCAGAGTAACAGACATAGACTGAGAGACCAGAGTAACAGACAGAGACTGAGAGACCAGAGTAACAGACAGAGACTGAGAGACCAGAGTAACAGACATAGAGAGAGAGACCAGAGTAACAGACAGAGACTGAGATACCAGAGTAACAGACAGAGACTGAGAGACCAGAGTAACAGACAGAGACTGAGAGACCAGAGTAACAGACAGAGACTGAGAGACCAGAGTAACAGACAGAGACTGAGAGACCAGAGTAACAGACAGAGAGAGAGAGACCAGAGTAACAGACAGAGACTGAGAGACCAGAGTAACAGACAGAGACTGAGAGACCAGAGTAACAGACAGAGACTGAGAGACCAGAGTAACAGACAGAGACTGAGATACCAGAGTAACAGACAGAGACTGAGAGACCAGAGTAACAGACAGAGACTGAGATACCAGAGTAACAGACAGAGACTGAGAGACCAGAGTAACAGACAGAGACTGAGATACCAGAGTAACAGACAGAGACTGAGAGACCAGAGTAACAGACAGAGAGAGAGAGACCAGAGTAACAGACAGAGACTGAGAGACCAGAGTAACAGACAGAGAGACAGAGACCAGAGTAACAGACAGAGAGAGAGAGAGACCAGAGTAACAGACAGAGAGAGAGAGACAGTGAGAGAAACACAAACACAGCCTCCATAACCACACTCAAACAGGCAGCTACTTATTCTTGTGGCACTTGATCAGGGAGAGTGATGCCTGCTGGGAAGGGCACCCATGGGAGACACTCACCCTCATCATTCAGACACCCTCCCCTGGGGCCCCTCCCTCCCCCCTCGCTCTCCCCTGTCACCAACCATCCAATCCACTCTCCCCCACAGAAGGGAGATTCCAATTAACAGGAACGCACGCCGCAATTTGGATCTTAAATGAACTGGGGAAAGTGGAGTCGTTAGAGTCTGGGAAGAGGACGTTAAACACCAGCAGCAATCACACAATCACAGTCTGGCCCAAATCAGGACGCACAAATGTGTTTGGGCCAATCTAAGCACGGAATCCACTTTAAACTGCTTTTATACAAGTTTGAATTGTTTTCCTTTGGGAGTTTCCATAAGCAGCATTCAGAGAGACAGGTTTAAGGAGCAGGGGAAGCCGGAGCACCAGGAGGATATCCTACACACACACAGGGAGAGAGAAGAGAGAGACACACACAGAGAGGAGACAGAGACACACACAGGGAGAGCGAAGAGAGAGACACACACAGAGAGGAGACAGAGACACACACAGAAAGGAGACAGAGACCCACACAGAGAGGAGACAGAGACACACACAGAGAGGAGACAGAGACACACACAGAGAGGAGACAGAGACACACAAACGCACAAATCAAATGGGTAAAACCAAGATAAGACACACACACAGTTCGACATTAGGCTTGTTGCCACAGTAACCAGCTGAAGAAGCATCATCCAAGGAGCAGTCTGCACCAGGAGCAGAGAGCCGCTACACTCTCGCAGGTTATCGAGCATGTTAATATCATTTATATCCAACAATACTATATTTAAAACAGTCCCTCCCCTTGGCATGAATTCGACCAATGAAATATGCTGGAGGAGAATAGTTTGACCAAAGAGGAGGGGCCGCAAGGATTTGAATACATTTTGGCCAATCAGAAAGCTGGGGGCGGGTCTAACACATCGAACCTTCAGGACAAAAACATTCCATGAGTCGTGATCTCCCGAGGATCAGGCTGTAAATCTGATTGGCCGATCCACCTGTCACTCTCTCTCATTAGTCTAATACGAGGCTATTGACGTGCGCCCCTGGCCATCTGCCCGGCAACAGGACACTAATTATCTGATTGGCTGTTTGTTCCCACGGCACAACGATGTCATAAAGAGAAAGAGGCTCTTTCTGAACGACAGTGATGTGTTTCCATCAATATAAGATCAATGCACTTCATTCACACTGGATACAGAGCTTTGTATACAGACGCTGCTCCCTCTTCATCTGATTGGTCCCTCTCTGGTCTCTCTCTCTGGTCTCTCTCTCTGGTCTCTTTCTCTGGTCTCTCTCTCTGGTCTCTCTCTCTGGTCTCTCTCTCTGGTCTCTCTCTGGTCTCTCTCTGGTCTCTCTCTGGTCTCTCTCTGGTCTCTCCCTGGTCTCTCTCTGGTCTCTCTCTGGTCTCTCTCTGGTCTCTCTCTCTGGTCTCTTTCTCTGGTCTCTCTCTCTGGTCTCTTTCTCTGGTCTCTCTCTCTGGTCTCTTTCTCTGGTCTCTCTCTCTGGTCTCTCTCTCTGGTCTCTCTCTGGTCTCTCTCTGGTCTCTCTCTGGTCTCTCCCTGGTCTCTCTCTGGTCTCTCTCTGGTCTCTCTCTGGTCTCTCTCTGGTCTCTCTCTGGTCTCTCTATGGTCTCTCTATGGTCTTTCTCTGGTCTCTCTCTGGTCTCTCTCTGGTCTCTCTCTGGTCTCTCTATGGTCTTTCTCTGGTCTCTCTCAGGGGTCATTATCTGCAGCATGTCCAGTCCTGGCCTCATCAGGACCAGCACTGGACCAGGACCAGGACTAGACCAGGACTGGACCAGGGCATAAATACATTTTTGACACTTTCTCAGGAGAAATGACAACTATGTAATACCATGTTTATCATAAGTTATTCCATATTCAGAAACATAAAATAACAGTAAATAGTCTCATCTTTTGAATGGACTAAATGGTCACACAGGATCTGAGGCACATGCACAGAACCATCTGTCTCTACTTTTAGCTGAATATAGAGACACTTTCTGGTCTCTCTCTCTGGTCTCTCTCTCTGGTCTCTCTCTGGTCTCTCTCTGGTCTCTCTCTCTGGTGTCTCCCTCTGGTGTCTCTCTCTCTGGTGTCTCTCTCTCTGTTCTCTCTCTCTGGTGTCTCTCTCTCTGGTCTCTCTCTCTGGTCTCTCTCTCTGGTCTCTCTCTCTGGTCTCTCTCTCTGTTCTCTCTCTCTGGTGTCTCTCTCTCTGGTCTCTCTCTCTGGTCTCTCTCTCTGGTCTCTCTCTCTGGTCTCTCTCTGGTCTCTCTCTGGTCTCTCTCTCTGGTGTCTCCCTCTGGTGTCTCTCTCTCTGGTGTCTCCCTCTGGTGTCTCTCTCTCTGGTGTCTCTCTCTCTGTTCTCTCTCTCTGGTGTCTCTCTCTCTGGTCTCTCTCTCTGGTCTCTCTCTCTGGTCTCTCTCTCTGGTCTCTCTCTCTGGTCTCTCTCTGGTCTCTCTCTGGTCTCTCTCTCTGGTGTCTCCCTCTGGTGTCTCTCTCTCTGGTGTCTCTCTCTCTGTTCTCTCTCTCTGGTGTCTCTCTCTCTGGTCTCTCTCTCTGGTTTCTCTCTCTGGTGTCTCTCTCTCTGGTCTCTCTCTCTGTTCTCTCTCTCTGGTGTCTCTCTCTCTGGTCTCTCTCTCTGGTCTCTCTCTCTGGTCTCTCTCTCTGGTCTCTCTCTGGTCTCTCTCTCTGTCTCTCTCTCTGGTGTCTCCCTCTGGTGTCTCTCTCTCTGGTGTCTCCCTCTGGTGTCTCTCTCTCTGGTGTCTCTCTCTCTGTTCTCTCTCTCTGGTGTCTCTCTCTCTGGTCTCTCTCTCTGGTCTCTCTCTCTGGTGTCTCTCTCTCTGGTCTCCCTCTTTGGGGTGAGGGTGGGGGTGGGTACAGGGTGTGGCCTGAGGGACAGACCACAGCCCCTCTCCATCTGGTCTCCTGTCACTCACACACCATGTGTCCCGGGACGGAGCGCCTCAAGGACAAGTTGGAACATGTGTCAGATCAGATCTGGCAGTGTTTCTGACCCTGAGCCTCATTTAAAGTCTCACTTTAATTATCCACATGGACACATTCAAGTGACAGCCTCAGTCCTGGGTCTACAGTCCTGGGTCTACAGCCTCAGTCCTGGGTCTACGGCCTCAGTCCTGGGTCTACAGCCTCAGTCCTGGGTCTACAGCCTCAGTCCTTGGTCTACAGCCTCAGTCCTGGGTCTACAGCCTCAGTCCTGGGTCTACAGCCTCAGTCCTGGGTCTACGGCCTCAGTCCTGGGTCTACAGCCTCAGTCCTGGGTCTACGGCCTCAGTCCTGGGCCTACAGCCTCAGTCCTGGGTCTACAGCCTCAGTCCTGGGTCTAAGCCTCAGTCCTGGGTCTACAGCCTCAGTCCTGGGTCTACAGCCTCAGTCCTGGGTCTACAGCCTCAGTCCTGGGTCTACAGCCATCATCCTGGGTCTACAGCCTCAGTCCTGGGTCTACGGCCTCAGTCCTGGGCCTACAGCCTCAGTCCTGGGTCTACAGCCTCAGTCCTGGGTCTACAGCCTCAGTCCTGGGTCTACAGCCTCAGTCCTGGGTCTACAGCCTCAGTCCTGGGTCTACAGCCTCAGTCCTGGGTCTACGGCCTCAGTCCTGGGTCTACAGCCTCAGTCCTGGGTCTACAGCCTCAGTCCTGGGTCTACAGCCTCAGTCCTGGGTCTACAGCCTCAGTCCTGGGTCTACAGCCTCAGTCCTGGGTCTACAGCCTCAGTCCTGGGTCTACAGCCTCAGTCCTGGGTCTACAGCCTCAGTCCTGGGTCTACAGCCTCAGTCCTGTGTCTACAGCCTCAGTCCTGGGTCTACAGCCTCAGTCCTGGGTCTACAGTAAGTCAGTAATTCTCCTCTACTTCAAAAGAACCACATTAAAAAGGACACAGCGAGCTTTAGGTTGAAGGAAACCCTGGTCAAACACAGTTAAAGGTGCAGTTTGTCTCCAGACTTCCCCTTTAATGGTCTCCGAGGACAAAGACAGAGTGTGATGGACGTGGACTGGACCTGTTTGTGAAGGATAAATATGCACGAGATCTGTCACCGAGAGAGAGAGAGAGTAATTGGGCCGATGAAGGAGCGTGTCAGGCACACAGCGTGAAGAATGGAGATGATCTATGGGCTTCAGGGGGGAGGCGGGGGAGGCAGGGGAGTGGGGGAGGCAGGTGGAGGAGGCAGGGGAGTGGGGGAGGCGCGAGAAGGGGGAGGCTGTCGACAACATGAGGGAGATCTACTGTAGCTCGCTCTGCGGCTCTCATTCAAAATACACCTCTGTGTTTGAGGAGTTTGGACTGTCAGCTACAGTACTGAGGAAGAGAGAGAGCAGAGAGAGAGCAGAGAGACCAGAGAGAGAGAGAGCAGAGAGAGAGCAGAGAGAGAGCAGAGAGAGAGAGAGCAGAGAGAGAGACCAGAGAGAGACCAGAGAGAGAGAGAGAGAGAGAGAGAGAGAGCAGAGAGAGAGCAGAGAGAGAGCAGAGAGACCAGAGAGAGAGAGAGCAGAGAGAGACCAGAGAGAGAGACCAGAGAGAGAGACCAGAGAGAGACCAGAGAGAGAGACCAGAGAGAGAGACCAGAGAGAGACCAGAGAGAGAGCAGAGAGAGAGACCAGAGAGAGAGCAGAGAGAGAGCAGAGAGAGAGACCAGAGAGAGACCAGAGAGAGAGAGAGCAGAGTAGAAACAGCATAAACGTGGCTGTGGTGTCTGTGGAGGACAGAGAGGCTCCACTTCATTAAAGCCTTTCACTCAAACAGATGCAGAAAAAGTACATCCATCACGAGACGCCTGACAGCTGACATTTAGCACGTCTTCGGACCGAGCGCTGGCCATTAACACAGCACAGGCTTCTGACAGCCGCCAACAAGTGTGAGGGTTAAAGGAGACGCATTCATCAGATCAAGGAATCAAACTGTTCAAACACTGAGGCTGTAGACCCAGGACTGAGGCTGTAGACCCAGGACTGAGGCTGTAGACCCAGGACTGAGGCTGTAGACCAGGACTGAGGCTGTAGACCCAGGACTGAGGCTGTAGACCCAGGACTGAGGCTGTAGACCCAGGACTGAGGCTGTAGACCCAGGACTGAGGCTGTCGACCCAGGACTGAGGCTGTAGACCCAGGACTGAGGCTGTAGACCCAGGACTGAGGCTGTCGACCCAGGACTGAGGCTGTAGACCCAGGACTGAGGCTGTAGACCCAGGACTGAGGCTGTAGACCCAGGACTGAGGCTGTAGACCCAGGACTGAGGCTATAGACCCAGGACTGAGGCTGTCGACCCAGGACTGAGGCTGTAGACCACAGTTGTATAAAGACAGGGTAGATAGTGAGGAACCAACTCGTCGTACAGTCTGACAGTAAATATCTCTCGACAGCAGAATTGACTTGTCCTGTGTCTAAAAATGCCGTCCCATCTGTAAACATGAGATTCCATATTTCACATTTATTCCAGTCCGGGAACAGTGGCCCGTGAGGGACAAACGCTGCCGCCTGCATAATACATTTGTTTGGCTCGCGCTCGAATACATCAGCGCGGCTTTTAAGGGTCGCCCCAAATTGGGAACCCCCCCACCCCCCTCACCACCGGGGGCCACGGCGTGTTCAGTGGACCGCCGCCGACTCCCAGAGGTCTGTGACATTTCTCTGTTATTTACATAAACCGTGAGATGCCAATGTGTGCGCCCAGCACTCCAACAGACGCAGAAGTGTGTTCGACCCCACAGACAGAAGCAGAAGTCAGTGTGTTCAACGCCACAGACAGAAGCAGAAGTCAGTGTGTTCCACGCCACAGACAGAAGCAGAAGTCAGTGTGTTCCAGGCCACAGACAGAAGCAGAAGTCAGTGTGTTCCAGGCCACAGACAGAAGCAGAAGTCAGTGTGTTCAACGCCACAGACAGAAGCAGAAGTCAGTGTGTTCCAGGCCACAGACAGAAGCAGAAGTCAGTGTGTTCAACGCCACAGACAGAAGCAGAAGTCAGTGTGTTCCAGGCCACAGACAGACGCAGAAGTCAGTGTGTTCGACGCCACAGACAGAAGCAGAAGTCAGTGTGTTCCAGGCCACAGACAGACGCAGAAGTCAGTGTGTTCAACGCCACAGACAGAAGCAGAAGTCAGTGTGTTCCAGGCCACAGACAGAAGCAGAAGTCAGTGTGTTCCAGGCCACAGACAGAAGCAGAAGTCAGTGTGTTCAACGCCACAGACAGAAGCAGAAGTCAGTGTGTTCAACGCCACAGACAGAAGCAGAAGTCAGTGTGTTCAACGCCACAGACAGAAGCAGAAGTCAGTGTGTTCAACGCCACAGACAGAAGCAGAAGTCAGTGTGTTCAACGCCACAGACAGAAGCAGAAGTCAGTGTGTTCAACGCCACAGACAGAAGCAGAAGTCAGTGTGTTCAACGCCACAGACAGAAGCAGAAGTCAGTGTGTTCAACGCCACAGACAGAAGCAGAAGTCAGTGTGTTCAACGCCACAGACAGAAGCAGAAGTCAGTGTGTTCCAGGCCACAGACAGAAGCAGAAGTCAGTGTGTTCCAGGCCACAGACAGACGCAGAAGTCAGTGTGTTCGACGCCACAGACAGAAGCAGAAGTCAGTGTGTTCAACGCCACAGACAGAAGCAGAAGTCACTGTGTTCGACGCCACAGACAGAAGCAGAAGTCAGTGTGTTCAACGCCACAGACAGAAGCAGAAGTCAGTGTGTTCCAGGCCACAGACAGACGCAGAAGTCAGTGTGTTCGACGCCACAGACAGAAGCAGAAGTCAGTGTGTTCCAGGCCACAGACAGAAGCAGAAGTCAGTGTGTTCGACGCCACAGACAGAAGCAGAAGTCAGTGTGTTCCAGGCCACAGACAGAAGCAGAAGTCAGTGTGTTCCAGGCCACAGACAGAAGCAGAAGTCAGTGTGTTCGACGCCACAGACAGACGCAGAAGTCACTGTGTTTGACGCCACAGACAGAAGCAGAAGTCAGTGTGTTCAACGCCACAGACAGAAGCAGAAGTCAGTGTGTTCAACGCCACAGACAGAAGCAGAAGTCAGTGTGTTCGACGCCACAGACAGAAGCAGAAGTCAGTGTGTTCCAGGCCACAGACAGAAGCAGAAGTCAGTGTGTTCAACGCCACAGACAGAAGCAGAAGTCAGTGTGTTCCAGGCCACAGACAGACGCAGAAGTCAGTGTGTTCGACGCCACAGACAGAAGCAGAAGTCAGTGTGTTCGACGCCACAGACAGAAGCAGAAGTCAGTGTGTTCCAGGCCACAGACAGACGCAGAAGTCACTGTGTTCGACGCCACAGACAGAAGCAGAAGTCAGTGTGTTCAACGCCACAGACAGAAGCAGAAGTCAGTGTGTTCAACGCCACAGACAGAAGCAGAAGTCAGTGTGTTCCAGGCCACAGACAGAAGCAGAAGTCAGTGTGTTCGACGCCACAGACAGAAGCAGAAGTCAGTGTGTTCGACGCCACAGACAGAAGCAGAAGTCAGTGTGTTCCAGGCCACAGACAGAAGCAGAAGACACTGTGTTCGACGCCACAGACAGAAGCAGAAGTCAGTGTGTTCCAGGCCACAGACAGACGCAGAAGTCAGTGTGTTCGACGCCACAGACAGAAGCAGAAGTCAGTGTGTTCCAGGCCACAGACAGAAGCAGAAGTCACTGTGTTCGACGCCACAGACAGAAGCAGAAGTCAGTGTGTTCAACGCCACAGACAGAAGCAGAAGTCAGTGTGTTCGACGCCACAGACAGAAGCAAAAGTCAGTGTGTTCGACGCCACAGACAAAAGCAGAAGTCAGTGTGTTCCAGGCCACAGACAGAAGCAGAAGTCAGTGTGTTCCAGGCCACAGACAGAAGCAGAAGTCAGTGTGTTCGACCCCACAGACAGAAGCAGAAGTCAGTGTGTTCGACGCCACAGACAGAAGCAGAAGTCAGTGTGTTCCAGGCCACAGACAGAAGCAGAAGTCAGTGTGTTCGACGCCACAGACAGACGCAGAAGTGTGTTCGACGCCACAGACAGAAGCAGAAGTCAGTGTGTTCGACGCCACAGACAGACGCAGAAGTCAGTGTGTTCGACGCCACAGACAAAAGCAGAAGTCAGTGTGTTCGACGCCACAGACAGACGCAGAAGTCAGTGTGTTCGACGCCACAGACAAAAGCAGAAGTCAGTGTGTTCGACGCCACAGACAGAAGCAGAAGTCACTGTGTTCAACGCCACAGACAGAAGCAGAAGTCAGTGTGTTCAACGCCACAGACAGAAGCAGAAGTCAGTGTGTTCGATGCCACAGACAGAAGCAGAAGTCACTGTGTTCCAGGCCACAGAGAGAAGCAGAAGTCAGTGTGTTCGACGCCACAGACAGACGCAGAAGTCGGTGTGTTCCACGCCACAGACAGACGCAGAAGTCAGTGTGTTCCAGGCCACAGACAGACGCAGAAGTCAGTGTGTTCCAGGCCACAGACAGACGCAGAAGTCAGTGTGTTCCAGGCCACAGACAGACGCAGAAGTCAGTGTGTTCAACGCCACAGACAGACGCAGAAGTCAGTGTGTTCAACGCCACAGACAGACGCAGAAGTCAGTGTGTTCAACGCCACAGACAGACGCAGAAGTCAGTGTGTTCAACGCCACAGACAGACGCAGAAGTCAGTGTGTTCCCGGCCACAGACAGAAGCAGAAGTCAGTGTGTTCCCGGCCACAGACAGAAGCAGAAGTCAGTGTGTTCCAGGCCACAGACAGACGCAGAAGTCAGTGTGTTCCCGGTCACAGACAGAAGCAGAAGTCAGTGTGTTCAACGCCACAGACAGACGCAGAAGTCAGTGTGTTCAACGCCACAGACAGACGCAGAAGTCAGTGTGTTCAACGCCACAGACAGACGCAGAAGTCAGTGTGTTCCCGGCCACAGACAGAAGCAGAAGTCAGTGTGTTCCCGGCCACAGACAGAAGCAGAAGTCAGTGTGTTCCAGGCCACAGACAGACGCAGAAGTCAGTGTGTTCCCGGTCACAGACAGAAGCAGAAGTCAGTGTGTTCAACGCCACAGACAGACGCAGAAGTCAGTGTGTTCCAGGCCACAGACAGAAGCAGAAGTCACTGTGTTCAACGCCACAGACAGACGCAGAAGTCAGTGTGTTCCCGGTCACAGACAGAAGCAGAAGTCAGTGTGTTCCAGGCCACAGACAGAAGCAGAAGTCAGTGTGTTCCAGGCCACAGACAGACGCAGAAGTCAGTGTGTTCAACGCCACAGACAGAAGCAGAAGTCAGTGTGTTCCAGGCCACAGACAGAAGCAGAAGTCAGTGTGTTCCAGGCCACAGACAGAAGCAGAAGTCAGTGTGTTCCAGGCCACAGACAGAAGCAGAAGTCAGTGTGTTCAACGCCACAGACAGACGCAGAAGTCAGTGTGTTCAACGCCACAGACAGAAGCAGAAGTCAGTGTGTTCGACCCCACAGACAGACGCAGAAGTCAGTGTGTTCGACGCCACAGACAGAAGCAGAAGTCAGTGTGTTCCCGGCCACAGACAGACACAGAAGTCAGTGTGTTCCCGGCCACAGACAGAAGCAGAAGTCAGTGTGTTCCCGGCCACAGACAGAAGCAGAAGTCAGTGTGTTCCAGGCCACAGACAGACGCAGAAGTCAGTGTGTTCCCGGTCACAGACAGAAGCAGAAGTCAGTGTGTTCAACGCCACAGACAGACGCAGAAGTCAGTGTGTTCCAGGCCACAGACAGAAGCAGAAGTCACTGTGTTCAACGCCACAGACAGACGCAGAAGTCAGTGTGTTCCCGGTCACAGACAGAAGCAGAAGTCAGTGTGTTCCAGGCCACAGACAGAAGCAGAAGTCAGTGTGTTCCAGGCCACAGACAGAAGCAGAAGTCAGTGTGTTCCAGGCCACAGACAGAAGCAGAAGTCAGTGTGTTCCAGGCCACAGACAGACGCAGAAGTCAGTGTGTTCAACGCCACAGACAGAAGCAGAAGTCAGTGTGTTCCAGGCCACAGACAGAAGCAGAAGTCAGTGTGTTCCAGGCCACAGACAGAAGCAGAAGTCAGTGTGTTCCAGGCCACAGACAGAAGCAGAAGTCAGTGTGTTCAACGCCACAGACAGACGCAGAAGTCAGTGTGTTCAACGCCACAGACAGAAGCAGAAGTCAGTGTGTTCGACCCCACAGACAGACGCAGAAGTCAGTGTGTTCGACGCCACAGACAGAAGCAGAAGTCAGTGTGTTCGACCCCACAGACAGACGCAGAAGTCAGTGTGTTCGACGCCACAGACAAAAGCAGAAGTCAGTGTGTTCGACGCCACAGACAGACGCAGAAGTCAGTGTGTTCGACGCCACAGACAGAAGCAGAAGTCAGTGTGTTCGACGCCACAGACAAAAGCAGAAGTCAGTGTGTTCGACGCCACAGACAGACGCAGAAGTCAGTGTGTTCGACGCCACAGACAGAAGCAGAAGTCAGTGTGTTCAACGCCACAGACAGAAGCAGAAGTCAGTGTGTTCAAGGCCACAGACAGAAGCAGAAGTCAGTGTGTTCAACGCCACAGACAGAAGCAGAAGTCAGTGTGTTCCAGGCCACAGACAGAAGCAGAAGTCAGTGTGTTCCAGGCCACAGACAGAAGCAGAAGTCAGTGTGTTCAACGCCACAGACAGAAGCAGAAGTCAGTGTGTTCCAGGCCACAGACAGACGCAGAAGTCAGTGTGTTCGACCCCACAGACAGACGCAGAAGTCAGTGTGTTCCAGGCCACAGACAGAAGCAGAAGTCAGTGTGTTCGACCCCACAGACAGACGCAGAAGTCAGTGTGTTCCAGGCCACAGACAGAAGCAGAAGTCAGTGTGTTCCAGGCCACAGACAGAAGCAGAAGTCAGTGTGTTCCCGGCCACAGACAGGAGTTTAAGTATATTCTACATTAACAGATATATTTGGGGGAAATGACTGAGAAAGCAATAATAAACTACAAAGATGGTAAAATACATATCATACATAACTAAGTCCTACATACACTGCTAACACTTGCTGTTAAATAAAGTTACTTATTTCTGAAACAGTTTGATTTGACAGAGAAAAGATAATTATACAAATAAAACAATGAAATTCACCATCAATAATATTCTGGTGAGAATGGATCTGCCTGGATTTGGTGTTTTTGTCCCATTAGCTTTAGCCTCGCTAGCTCTACTCTTGTCAGCGTTAGCCTCGTCAGCGTTAGCTCTAGCTTCATTAGCTCTATGTCAATGTCAACATCCATTCTGTAGAACATTTACATCATAAGCCCAAAGAAATGAAAAGCCTTAAACAGCCACACAAACATTTAAATATAAAACAGTAACGCTCAGTTGGTTTCAAAAACCAAGCTTTAGCCCCGTTAGCGTTAGCCCCGTTAGCGTTAGCTTTAGCCCGTTAGCGTTAGCCCCGTTAGCTTTAGCCTCGTTAGCTTTAGCCCCGTTAGCGTTAGCCCCGTTAGCTTTAGCCTCGTTAGCTTTAGCCCTGTTAGCGTTAGCTTTAGCCCGTTAGCGTTAGCCCCGTTAGCTTTAGCCTCGTTAGCTGTAGCCCCGTTAGCTGTAGCCCCGTTAGCTTTAGCCCCGTTAGCTGTAGCCCCGTTAGCTTTAGCCCCGGTAGCTTTAGCCCCGTTAGCTTTAGCCCCGTTAGCTTTAGCCCCGTTAGCTTTAGCCCGTTAGCTTTAGCCCCGTTAGCTTTAGCCCATTAGCTTTAGCCCCGTTAGCGTTAGCCCCGTTAGCTTTAGCCTCGTTAGCTTTAGCCCTGTTAGCGTTAGCTTTAGCCCGTTAGCGTTAGCCCCGTTAGCTTTAGCCTCGTTAGC